CACTTTCTAATTAGCTTTAGTTAAAGTGCCCCCGCAAGTTAGGAGACCTGATAGACCAGATGCTAATAGAGGCATCATGGCCACCTCTACCTCTTACTCTGCAGACGGTGATGAAGCCACCTATGCCAGGTGAGTTTCCTTTAGCTAAATTAATTCTCTACTAGCTAACTCTAGCTGGTTTAATATCACTTTGGCCTTAGCAAACCAGATAAATTAGCTCATAATATATTATAGACTAATTCTTTCCTATTCGTAAAGTATATAAAAAGAATTGTATGTCCAAAGGAATTTAAAAAGTGGCTATTGCCTAGTTTCTCCTTTTTTTTTTTTCTTATTTGTATGTCTGTGGAAATATTGGAGGACCTCCATTCTCATATAATACAACTTGTATGGGAAAATAAGACTTCTAAATTAAGTTAAAAAAATCCAAGTTTAAAAGACTAGCAGAAGAAAAATTGGTCATGCCCAAGCTAATCTAATTGCAATCTACTGGACAGCTCATTATTCTTTTTGTGTGTCACCAAGACAAGACTGGAAAACCAATTTATATTGATTTTCCAATGTGTGATTTTCCAACAGACACACACACATATATATACATTTTTTAAAAACATATTTATTCTCTGATTATTCTCACCAGATATCAGAAGCTTCCTCCAATAAATAGATACCCATGTGCTAAATTAACATTCTTAATACATGACAGAGTAAGTTAGTACTAACCCTTACCCGATTAAAAAAATAATAATAATTTGTCTGTACGGAACTTGGACTCCCTAGAACCACATTAATATTTTGAGATTTGAGAGAAATATATGTTAGTGTATGAGTCAATATTGATAATCAAACTTCTAGATATTGCTGTTTTACGAAATGTAATATAGTTCACATTGCTAGTATCTCAAGGTTAAATACTGGGCTCAACAACTGAATTGTGAAATGCTTCTGGAACCTATGACAGGAGTGGATACAGTAATACTTTGCTTTTTCAAGACCCAAAGGCCTAGTGTTCCTATAATTAGAATTGTTACAAAATGTGCTCAAGGATTAAAAAAAACAACAAGAACAAAACAAACAAAAGTGTGTGTTTTCTTCTAGGTTGGCGGACTTCCTCCGGCGGGCTTTAAACTA